TATTATTGATGTCTGAGTTTAATAACACCAGTTGCTTAATCATCAAATCAATACATTATATAGAGGTCTTCTTTCTTTCAAATCTTCAGTGGGGCCGAACCTGGATCTGCATGTGTGGTACGCTACTTGCTCTGGCCTTCTCTCCAGCGATCAGTGTTGTCGTGTACGCGTTTTTGTGAGTATTGTTTTCGATTTTCGTTTTCATTAACAGTTTTAAATTTTTTTAAAGTTTTGATTTTTTGCGATTTTTGGGTTGGTTGGAATGAGTTCCACCAACCACCTGACCCAACATCGGTCGGTCAGGTTTATCGTCGAGAAAGACACATTAGCTTCCCAGGTGATTGACTCTATCTGTGAGAGCCTGGGTGGTAATGTTGTGGACTGTCTCCAGCACTTCGGCGCTGGCCGATACATTGCCACATTGTCCACTCTGGCTGTAGCAAACGAGCTGTTGGGTCGAGGAGCTTTCTCGGTAAACGGTGCCTCCATCTCGGTGAGTCCTGCAAGCCAAAACCTGAAATGGATGACCCTGCATTCTGCCCCTTATGAAATGTCACACGAAGTGATTAGTGCTGCTCTACGACCATATGGACGAGTTATCAAAATAGAATACGAGTGTTATCCATCACGTCTTGGAGTCTGCACCGGTAACAGGAGAATCCGTATGGATATGACATCTCCGGTTCCCAATTTTTTCAAAATTGGAAATTACACAGTCATGGTCAACTACCCGGGCTTTTGACGCTTGTGCCACCATTGTGGTCTCGGAGGTCACCTTGCCAACCAGTGTGACACCCCGAGGTGCTCGCGTTGTTTGTCAATGGCCATGAAGAGGCCCAGTGTACCGTTTCATGTGATTTGTGTCAGGGGCTCACAGTTCTTCTGTGTGCCCCTCCCGTGCTCCAACATATGCCAGCAAAGTTTCCAGAGCTGACACGAAATGTGCCATGTCTCCCCCTCCACCATCACCTGTACTGCCTCAACCCATCCCAACTACCAATGTGTGTCCTGTTCCTAAGGAGCAGCTGGACCAGTCACCCTCCTCAGGTTCCGCTGGTAATGCTTCCCAGCCCATTCCTGAGGCCACTGTTTCTCCAACTGAAGATGCCTCGCCAATGTCAAATGCCGCTAAATGTCCTCCCAGTCCTGTGAAGGATGACTCATCAACAGTCCCCTCACCTTCCGTCTCGTCTAAAGTCTCGTCCAGTCCTGATGTCTCTGAGTGTACTGGGGATTCCTTGTCTCACTCCCCAGTAGCTGTTTCGACTTCCTCCCTTGTGATCCGGAAACGTCATATCCCTATAGCAGTGCCTCCTCTCCATTCCGAACTTTCTGCGGCGTCCCGGTCTTCCCTTGTGGTTGCCAAGTCGTCTTCAGTTTCCCAGATGGACTGTATCGACGCAGCTACACTCAAACGTGCTTTAACTCCCTCATTGCCGGATGAGGGGATGAAGCAGCAGCGCCTGTAGTTCTTCCTTACCATTGGCAGTGAAAGGATTAAGCTTCTGTTTTTGATTTGTAATTTATATTGTATTACTCTGTACATATTGTATCATAATTTGTGAACTTATCGTTACTCTGTACATGTCATGTTATATCTTGTATGCAATTGCTGGAAATTTAGTTATTGTTCTTTTGTAACGTTAATTGTTGCAATAAATCTCAAAGTGGTATCATATATCATGGCCTGGGATCCATATGATGTCCTCCCCATTAATCCTCTGACCCTGGCATGGGGTTATGATTGTATGCATATACAGTAACCCGGGGTGAGTTGGAAAGCATGGGTTCTGGAAGTCTCCCCAAACATTGGTCCAGTGCTCCAGGGTACTTGTACCGTACAGGAGGAACCATTCCAGCATCGCTGGCCTCCAAATTAATCCAAAAATAGATTATGTTTACTTTCAGCTGTGATATCTATGTTAGGAAAAATTAAGAAAAAAATACTTGGAATTTCAGTTATCTCTCAATAGATGGAGAAAAATTAAGAAAAATACTTGCAAGTTTAGTTATCTCTCAATAGATGGAGAAAGAAATAATAAGGAAAAATACTTGCAAGTTTAGTTATCTCTCAATAGATGGAGAAAGAAATAATAAGGAAAAATACTTGGAAGTTCAGTTATCTCTCAATAGATGGCAGCAACAAAAGAACATTTGACGCATGTGTGTGTGTACAGTAGCAAACTTTTATTTCTCGGATGTTTGGGAATATAAACTAGCACGTGTAAGGTACACATAAAATATCTAGCACGTGTGAGGTACACATAAAATATCTAGCACGTGTTAGGTACATACAAAATATCTAGCACGTGTTAGGTACATACAAAATATCTAGCACGTGTAAGGTTCATACAAAATATCTAGTGTACATCAGGTCTTGCATAAAGAATTAAATAATATCTTGGAATTCTTGGCTAAAATGATTTTGGTAATTAATAGAATACTTCATAATTATTTAATTAAGTGAAGTGTTAATATACTTTGTACCTAAATAACCTCTTCTCATCGTCTACCCTACATGGGTAATTTTTTTTTTTATGAAGAAATAGTTGAAAAATATCATTTGATGGGTGTATTAGTAGATACAGTGAAGACGTGTTTAAAACTAACTGTCACTAGTTTTTCTTCAGACTTTAGACAAGCCGTACGCATTGTTGTTCACTCCAAGTGGTTTAATATTTTAGCATAATGATGAACAGAACCAACTGAAGAGAGCTTACTTATTCATATGCTGAAGCCTGAAATGAACAATGTTGGTACAAGTACTAAGTTACATCTACTGCCCCACTAAAACCCTGTCTCTAATAATGCCAGAGCCCACACAAAAACCTTGCCCAAAAGTTCGGACCTGTTAATATTGTCCAACTTTTTTTAATATATACTACCCAAGTATTAAATCTTTATTGGAGTTTTTATGGTTTTTTTTTGTCAAACAAAACTATCATATCAATCCTCTATATTGCAATGAAAACAGTTACAATCAGCTCTTCCCTCCTCTTTTTAAAGCACCTGAGAAAATTTCTTCAAATGCCACCTGACAACCACATTTTAAACTACTCTTCTGGGTAAAATTAAGTAAAATAGTTTTGTACTGCTGACATTTTTTATGTCTTAAGAAAACATCCTTAGCATCCTTTTATTTGCCACATCATTGGTTGGGTAGTTTGTTTGTTTGTTTTGTCTGTTTCTTTGTTTGTTCCCAATACAAATCAATTTCTCAATTTGATTTTCAAGTAAAACAATAAGCAAAGCATCTGTAAATCATACATAAACTGTTTCCGTTTACAAAACAGGGACCCCATTATTAAAAATCCTTAAAGAGGTAAAAATAAAAACTTATTTAAAACATCCCATAATAATGTTTGTTTGAAAAAACAGAAACTTGTATTTCTATGCTTGATTATCTTCCTATATAAGATCTTTGTCTTTTTTTTAAGAACATAAAATCAGACACAGTTATGTAGCCACAAACCTATTAATTTTACCTAATACCTTAGGTTTGATGATAAAAAAAAGACCATTTTGAAAATACATATGGTAAACAGCTTACACTGGCTGGGCCATTAAACTGGACAGTGGATTGTGACCTAGAATGATGACCAAGTTTTATTTGCTGGTCCAGCAGAATAGACATTCTAACAGTAAATTGGGACCTAAGACGACAACATAATTTTACTGGTTAGCCCAGAGAACCGAATATTCTGAAAGTGAACTGTGACCTAGAATGATGATCTAGCTTCAATTGCTGGCCCAGAAAACTGGACATTCCGACAGTGGATTGTGACCTAAGACAATGACTTAATTTTACAATCAAGAATACAAAACCTATAATAAATTAATAAATATTATTACTATCAAGTTGCTACATGGTTACTTAACATTAACCCCACTTATTGAAAGCTAACAGACAGTCAGAGCAACAGTCTGTTCACTTCTACTGACAGTTCTTAACTGTACTAGGACTATTATAACTTATGTTACCCCCAAGAAAAAAAACGTGGATATTCTCCATAACTACTTATCCCTAGAAGTATCATTTTAAGGTTTCAGTGATCATGCTATAAATAGAAAACAAACCTAGGAGTGGTTTGTAAGAGACACTGGACATGACTGATTCAAACAAAACTGTATAATGAAAAGCATGAAACCTTTGGTAGCTTTTTCAAAACAGGCATGTAGGAATCTTGGAGGCTGCAAAGGCTGGAGCCCCACAATTTTGAAAAAAAGGGGCTTGAATATGTTTTAGCTTCCTCAATAATTAAAAAATTCTACCTCACGGGCCTCTACTTTGTTAACTGAGCAGAAATTATGTTACTGGGCCCTTTTTTTAGTAGATTGTGGGGGCCCCTTCACTTCAAAACAGGCTCTACAAGAGGTCCCAATGCTTCATAATCAACACCCAAGCCTAATATATTTGAGTGGTCCTAGGCATCATGATCAACAAATTCCAGAAGTTTGGAATTATGAGGCCCAGTTCAATAAAAGGAGCATTCTGTTCTATATGGGAACCAGTTTTATCCAATGACCCCTGGTTCAATAGACGGTGCCCCAAATAAAGCAACATATTCAAAACAAGTGGTCTCACAGTTCAACTTCAATGCAAAGGGGTCCTTGTTTACGATTAACGGCCCTTTGCTATAAACAACTTTTGGTGATGGACTTTCATCAGTCACAAGTTTTCGTAATATTTTATTATTTTACTTTCTTCAGAAAGTAAATGTCATCATATCATGCACATTATAAAATACTACTGAATACTTTTCTTTATAAAATAACAACTGTGAAACAAATGAGATAAAAAAGGGGTCTAGAAAACTATGAATTTAACAATATAATTGTTTTTTATTTCGAAGTTATACCACGTTTAGGGCACCGCTAAAATGAGCCCCCTCAATATCACGTGTCTGAAAAATGAACTAAATTATAAAGAACAAACATACGCAGTACTATTAAAAGCTTCCGTCACTCTTAATAAACCACAGAATATAACTTTAAAATAAGACCAATATTTTTATCTTACCTTTTCCAATTTTCTGAACGACTTCTTCAAAACTGTTCATTCAACAAAATAGAACATAAATTGTTTTTTTGTTCTCGACAATATTTGTATGCTACAGCTTTCTTAATTTAACGAACTTATTTTAAACTTAAACTAAAGTAAGGACAAAAATTCACAGCAGAAAATAAGCAACTTTCCTATTACACCATCTTATCAATCACATGTCAGTATTACAACCACTAGATGGCAGGTAATTGAAAAAGTTATTTTCCTTTTCAGAAACGTTTTATTAAAAAATATGTATAAAATAATAATTATATCAGTTTAACGCCATGAAGTTTTTCATATTACAAGTATAAATTCCATGTAAAAGTTTTAATTTACTTAGATAATATTATTTTAGACAAAACTATATAAATAGAGCTACAATTATTTAACTTTCGACGAATATTTTCAGCTATAGAATTTATTATTCAAATGCTGTTATAATTTTTATTCTAAAGTCCGGCTTTATTAACCTTATTAAATAACTTTTTTATTTATATATTTTCCCAGCTAATTCAGTAGATTAGAACAGTTTTATTTTTCTCTGTTTTGTAGAAGTAAACTTTCGTTCGATATAACCAAAGTTTATATATTTTCATATGATAATGATCTACAGTGGTTAATTGGATATAAATTGTACTAAGAGTTTGTTTTGTTGAAACTGATCTGTCGTTAGGCGGATTCTTTTGGGTCATTTGGTAAAAATAATGTCAATTTCAGTCCAGTAACGATAATGAAATACTATATTTCTTGTTATAAGCTACGTTTACTTGTAGGCTTAACTTCAATATCACGTTTCAACTAATGTATAACATAACTTCTGAAAACTAACATACGCCTAACTTACTTATATAATGCAATTTGTGGGTCGCGGGTTCGAATTCCCGTCCCATCAAACATGCTCGCCCTTTCAGCCGTGGGGGCGTTATAAAGTGAT